GGAAATGCAGCAAGAACACTTAATTTAAATTTACCAGATAACATTGGTAAATTCTGAACCCTTGCTGAGCACACTGCAATTGTATAGCTATCTCCTATCTCTCACACGCTTTGTGTGCATTATGGATACCAGCAAATGTAAGAACAAGAGGGTGGTTCTAATACTGCTCACTATAAAGGTTATGAATAAGCAAGCATACCTACTTCTGCTATTTGGGAAATGAGAATTATCTGCTCTTCTGCATGTTTGTTGCAAGAAAACAAGGTGTAGAAAGCTGTGCACCTATTACAACTTTAACATAAAAAACTACAACCCATGAAATCATTTTCAGTTCTTCAAAAAGTCAACCATACTTTTTCCCTAACGTACACTTTAATGCCAGGAAAAGCACAAACAGCTAGTTTAAAAGACTTTTATCTTTTCTCCAGGAGGTAATAGTCACATTCAAGTGAAGGGTCCAATCCAGAATCAATGTTCTGGGAACCTAGTTGCAAGCAAACTACAAATCAAACAAACCATTACTTATCACACTTGGATATGTTTAATCCCTCCCCACAAACTTGGGTACAGAAGAGAAGAGACGAGACTTGAGGGTGCCCACTTCTAAAGCTTGAATGTGTAAGTCTTCAACTAGTAATCAGAAATTCTTGGTGGGTCATAGCCAGGAGCAGCAAAATTATATCCACATTTAGTCTGAAGGTAGGCCCTGCATGAAAATAACTGAAAACTGCTATTCCAAACTACGGTTTGGAAGATGCCCACTTAAGATGCAGCAACCACAGCTCTAGCCCCCAATCCAAAGGGCATCATAACATTATCTGGGTGGCCTCAAAAACCATGCAACAGGCCAGATTTTTACTTCTGTATGCTTCCTTGAAGCAGACAAGCAGGGCAGAAAATGGCACTAAATAATATGTTCAGACCTTTTATCGATCTTCTACATCATTGCAGTTTCTTTCAGTTACAGGATCTTAGGCATACTATTTGTTTCCATGCGACAGTGGGAATTATTTGCTACAGAAAGCAAAATGCTTTTGAAAACCAAGAAAATTTCAAGAGTAGTTTGGCACTAATTCTAAAGGAGTACGCTGGGTGTTGGAATTGTTTATCTAGACTTTTTTTTCCATAATTATGCAACGGTTCAGATAAAACGGCTTTTAAAATTTAAAAGTATGCAAATGCAGGTCACCCCAACTGACCAGCTGTGCGAAAATATTTCATATTTGTGGGGATACGAGTCTCATTCTCATCTTTAAGTGGGACATGCATTCAATCACTACGTATAATGTATCTATGGCAAAACATATAGTTTGTAACCAACCAACCTATGTTCTAGTTAAAGGACAGTAATTTTAACACATCACACATATACAGCTTCATTCCACATAATGTGTGTGTTGCTTTTCATGAAGAAAAGTTCCAAACATTATAAACATTTTATCACCAATATTTATTCCAGATTGGATAACAGGAATACTACTCATGTTAAAATGCTCTGCCAGATAAAGCCATTAACTCATTTTACATTCAAAAGTAAAGAAAATATTTGAATGTTGATTTGTTATAATAGAAAATAATTCATATGTAACCAATTGTGCATATTTTTTACCATAAGGCAATCTCACAGGAGAGGCTATGTATCACTGGTAGTTCTGTGAGGTCCCATCATATCAGGGTAGCTAGCATGTATAATTATGATGCAACTTTCAAACTGCTGAAATCCTACCAATTACAGCAGTTATGTCCCTCATCTAATCATGAGATAAAAAGTAAAAATGTCCTCAAGCTGAGCTCAATTCCTGATGATGGCATCCATGCCTTTTTCTTGGCAGAACTGCAGAAATGATTTGCCTAGGCTTTTTTCTGTTTTTTTTCAAAGTCTCAGTTGAGCCAAGAGCCTTGGATACTCAAGTGGTCCCCCACAGAAATGCTAACCAGGCCAACTCTGCTTAGCTTCAAAGTTCGATGAGTAAGTTATTAAAGTCCCCAGAGTAGTCTAGTCATCATGCAAATTAACAAACCTATACAGTCCTGTAGGTGATGCTGGAGTCCAAATCTGAGCCTGGATATAATTATCTATCAAAATCTAAAGAGATTTTATCATGTAAATTGTAGTATTTTACTATAATATTCATGATATGGGATCTTGTAACAGTGGCATTTGTTCTAGCATCTATCTCCACTTACAAAAAAGGGGTGTCATTTTTCCCACTTTGTCCTTCCTCTTGGGGCTCTCTGTACTACATGCCACCACCATTTCCCTGTTGAATCCTCTGACTGTCCAGAATAGTTTTTAGACAGCAGAGGGATATAGAAACAATTGGTGAAAGTTCCCTTCTTTTGCTGGCAGGGGCATTCACAAGCAGAAATGCCTCAGAACTTTGTGATTTTCCAAAAGGTCTTCTATTCAGCTTTTAGTCTAGTCTTCAACATTTCTGCAAGCAAGATTTTTCTCTCAGGTTATCAAAGACTCACTTCTACAGTATTTCACTTCCATCTCAGAAACTTCCATACATTAATAATATTCTATGTCTAAGAATAATACTGCAGGTTGCATCCCCTAGGGCCCTTATGCTCACAGGAAGACTTTTGCCTTAGTGGAGGCTTCTGCTAACAGAAGATGGAAAAGACAATTTCTCCTACTGTCTATAAGCCCCAAAATCTGTCCTCAAATGTTTGAGATCCTCCAGAACAGCATGAGACATAGCATGGAGGGAAACTGTCGAAAATGTTCTTCATTTTTGTTTGAAAGGACTTAATGCCTTGCAGTAAGTGGAAGGACAACACCCATTTTGGATCAGAGGCTTCAGCCAAGCAGTGTTCAGTCTTCCATGTTAAAGGTATATTTATATGCAAATTACCTCTAGATTCCTGCCTACCTGGAAAAATTGGACTACCTTCAAACCTTGGATAATCCATCCTTATAAAAATGTGTCACTCATAATAAGACAGATTACTTTAATTATGCTGTCATTACTCCATTGGAGGCTGAGTGCTACCCATTTTCTTGCTGATATTAAAAATAGGTTGTCTTATTTATCACAAAACTGCACTATCAAAATAGATCCCCACAGCAGACAAAAGACAATAAAGTTGAGGCTTCTTTTCCTAGTGTTTGTCCTGCATGGTTGCAGAATCCACTTATTATTTACGCTGCACTTACCTAGTTCTTACAAGAAAACTATCAGTGCATGATGCAACAAGGGGTTTTGCAGAGCACTATGCTGAAGGGAAGTGACTGGCCCAAGTCACCCACTTGGCTTTCATGCCTGATGGAGGACTAGAACCTTGGGTCTCCTCACTTCTAGTCTAGCACCTTAATCACTACACCATACTGGGTCTCAAGAACAAAACAATAAATATATTAAATTCAGCATGTGTCTCTTTTCCTAATTGTCTGGCTCAGAAGAAAAACTACAATAATTATGAATCTCTTATTGTGTTAAAGAATGAAGCTCATGTGAAATGTTTCAATTGCATAGTGTTAAAAATGTACTTTTAAACAGTATTCATTGAGAAGGACCTGGAAGAAAGTGCAAAATGCAAATACTTGCTATAAAGTTACATTTAAAAAGAAAAGTACTGCATCTGGTAGTATCACCATACCCTGGATTAGTTACACAATCATCTAAACTAATAGCATAGCCCTAAAAGCTTAGTGAAATATTCTATTTCAGGGAGAAAAACAATGTTTGCATCTAGTTACCTTGTATTAAAGCAGCAAGTCTATAATTTAAAATATAGAGAAACACAAACACAGTTCACAGTATGAAGTCAAAAGGAAAACAGTTTTACATCTGGCTCTTCAGCCATTAGGAAGCAAAGAAGAATACCTTCACCTATAAATCTTGCTCATGCATTAAGGTCTTCAGAAATGCACTGATAGTTCTGAGTATCAGTGAAAGAAATATATTATGCATTTGCAAAACAGCAGGCCTTCTCTGTGGTGGCACTTTTACTTTGGAATGTCTTCACAACAGAGAGGTAATTTGCTTTCCTTTCAGCACCAGTTCTAAACACTCCTTTTTGCTCAGGCATTTTACATTTACATTAAAAAACACACCAAAACACTCATTAGGTTACTTGCTAGCTGAATAGTTCTGATGACTTTTTTTACAATTTTATTACTACTTATATCATATTTTAAAATATTATGCACACTAACCACAAGCCTGGTTTATAAATTTGAAAAAATGACAATAAGAAATCTGTCTAGCATTAATAAAGTCAATATTACTCTTTGATAAAATGGCTCTCATTTATCTGTTTTTAAATCAGTGGCCACTAGTTGCATAAACTTCCATGGGCATCTTTCCCAAATACTGTTAATATGGATAAGTTAATACCATGATTGAAATTGCCATTTCTACAGAAAGAAGAAAGATGAATCTGGGTGAAAAAGATGGAGCATTCTATAGCTGGATCAAATGGTGTGATTATGTTCTATTGCTTATGTTCTTCCTGTGGGAGAATTTTTAATCTGTTGCAAACCTGATCTAAACAGCTGGAAGACACTCTGGGGCAGATCTGAGATCCCACTTTGAGGTAGTAGAGCAGAAGTGACAGTCCTGTTGCAGGAGCATGAGTACATGAATGAAATTTAAGAATAACATCTGCTAATTCTGGAAGATTGTGTTTATAATTCATTTGAATTTTCCAGTACCTGATGGATCAGAATATACAATAATATTATGACAAATGAAAAGATCTTGCTTCTTGATAAAGTGAGCAAATATAAGTTCTGTTTGGAAAATTAAATTAAAGCCAGTGTCAAACTTGGAAGTGAGGGAGGACATTGCAGTGTTTTGTTACAGCAAACCTACAGGTACTCTTCTACAATGAAACAAATAATCTATCAAAAATATATAACAATGCTTCCTTTTCTGCACTTCTATACACGATTTCTGTAATTCCTCAAATGGTTATTTTTCCAGAGAAGGACATGATTTAAGTTTGTAACTTAAACTCAGAAAAAGGTTATTGGTAAGCTAGATACTAACCTGTCCTAGACCAGGCATTCCTCCTCCAAGTCGTAGAAGTCGATCCATATTTCCTGAAGAAAGAAAGAAACAGATAGCATACCTGGGTTCTAATGTGTTTACTAAACTGTTCTCCATAAAATTCACCTTCAGTCACTCATTATGTCAAAAATATTGGTCGTAATTACAACACAACATCAGACTTCCTGTTAATTAACACCACATATTAATTCAAGAAGCTGTCTTCCATACTAATTAACAACTGTACTTTAAGCGTACTGATTTTGGGTTATCCCCAGATTTTAAAAAAACAAGCTTTTTTGTTTAACTCCTTTTTTATTGCAAAAATCATTTATTTCCTCCTCTGATCCCACCTACCCCCAAAAAGCATCTGCACAGCAAACTAAAGAAAACTCAACACCAGCAGATTAATTTCCTTCAATTTATCCAGAACACATCAATATAAAAATAATTCAAAAGTGAAGATTTTTAACATCCTCATTAGTAAGTTCTGTGCTAATTAACTTACAGCTTGTCAGTTAGCATCAAAACTGCATGTGAAAGACACTGAACAGATTAGATTTCTGAATTAGCATCAAAAGCTTTTTTTAATGAACTCATTACACCAAAAGAACACCATAAAGTAAACATTAAATGCCTTTAGTTAAAATATTAAGGGCTACATAGTTGTTGCATATATATCATTAAATATGAAATACTGTGGAAAGAAAATGAATCACACTGCTTTTTGTTATATTGCTTTAATAGTAAAATATTTTAACATGCAACATGCCAATATGACTGGGAACATCTTTAATACTATTAGCATGTCACCAAGTGCAGACTTCTGGATGTTACTGAATAAAAACGTCCAACATTCCTCACTAAGACTGCAAATGATTTAAAGGAGCATTTCACCGCAATTATTTGAACAGTCCAAGTCTTCACCACTGTCCACGCTGGCTGGAATTGCTTGGAGCTGTAGTTTACCAACATCTGGCAGGTCACTGATTTCCACTTGTGATCTTGACTGAATACTGATATTCAACAGGGCTGTGTAAAACCTTTGGGAGATGCTTCTGAACAGAGAGGACAGAAGTTGCTCTGCATGCACATGCAAGCAGAGACAACCAGGAGCAGCTTCTAAGGCAAAAGATGTAGCTGCTGCTACAAAGTGCTTTGCATGAATATTCAACTTTAAAGTAGTAAGCAGGATGGCCTGAAGTTCTAGGTTAACATCTGTATCTCGACCTGCATGCTGCCATCTATGTCTTCAATCCTTACTACATTATGCCTAACTGTAGCTAGTCAAATGCAAAAACTGAAAAATACTAAATGCTTCCGTAAAGTTAAAATTAAAAAAAACCAAAAAACTATTCAGAATTATAATCATGCCCACAGGGCACAATCCAAAAGAATTCTCACTACTTTTAATTAAAGTTAATTATCTCAAGATCATCATCAAGGATCAAATTAATACAATGTGAATATTCCAGTAATGGATCAATCAATAAAAGTTCATTTTTCTTCATAACACATCAGCTGAACTTAGATTGAACACATAAATAGTTCCATGGCCTATCTCAATATCCATGATGCTAGAATGACATTTTTCAGCAATTTAAGTAGAACTGCCATGAACATCTAAGGAAACTATTTCACGTATTTAATTTTACACTGTACTCACTTGGTTTTCAGCTTTTTTCAGCAATGTTGTTCCAGTTCGTAGCTAGGCCTCCAAGTTTGGATGTAAGGTGAAACTCCTACCTAAACACAAATAACAATTATTCAAGATATCTTAAAAATTCCTTTATTTTTAAGGAATAATGTATATGGCTACAGGTAGTCCCTGGGTTAAGAATGCCCGGTTTACAGACCCATAGTTAAGAACGGAGCCTATTGTAGCAACATTTAAGTTAAATATACAATGATTTGAGTTAAATACAGAATGGTTCAAGTTAATAAGTAGTATAATTACAT